GTAATACTTCTTAACCTAGAATTTTCTCTTGAGTACTAACATGGGTGCTAGTTAGATTTTTGAGACTTCAAAGCCCTGAAGCAAATATAAGCTACGCGTTTTATGCTAAGTTGCCAAAGCTTACTACTTAAAGTTGCTTAATTCTCCAAGAAAATGAATCTCATTTGCTGAGCTTGTTTTCGAATATGGTCTTCATTATCCTCATTTAGATATCATTTGAAGTAATAAGCCACCATTAAAATATATTTCCTGTCCATTATAACAATTTGAAGATTCTACAGCTTAAATTATGCCCCCTTAAACCTAAAACTCGACAGAAAACTTAAGGTGCATGTTAGTCCTAGATAGGTAAGATTCCACTTCAATTTATCTAAATTTTATTTAGAAATAGCCTTTTTACTTAGTCTACCTTTCTAAGAGATAACTTCAATTTTGTTTCACTCACAAAAATGATTCCTATACTTAAAGTTTAAAGATAACTGCAATTTCTGTTAGACAACTAAGAGGTAAATAATAAAGATGATCTAATAGTGTTGCATTATGTTATGTTTTTAAGGGCTATAAATGACATACGGATATTCAACTAAAAGTATTCTTTTTACTTTCAATTTAACAAAACACATGAGTTAAAGAAAGACTATAGAAAGCACTATGATTTATAACGCCTGCTGGCATTTTAATGTTCTCAGCTGTTCCTTTGCACCATTTGATTACACAAAGCCTAAACTGTGTAATTAAGGACCATCCCACTAATGTGCTCTGTTGGATTTATGGTGTCCAGGTCATCAAGGATCTGAGCACTTTGAGTATTGGACCATTAGTTTCAAATGCATACTAACATAGGGGAACGCACTGGCATCAAGAAGAACCTATAATAAGAAACAATTTCAAATTCAAGGAGGTAGCTTTCACCTGATTTTCATTTACCAAAACAGTTTTAAAACCCGATTACCAGAAATTCTAATTAACTAGAATTTTTTTCCTCTGGGGTGCACTTTTTGGAGAAAAGGGAAAATTGGAAGAAAATAAGTTAATAACCAAGACTTTACATTTGGGGGAAAAAAGATTCATTATCAGGGCTTGAAGAAAAATGTCCTTAAAAAAAACCTAAAGCATAACTACCCTTACCAAAAGCAAGAAAGTGGGTATTAAAGATTGAAAAAAGCTTTCTACGAAAACTTCCAGCTATCCAGAAAATTAAATTTGCAAATTTCCTTAATCTTCTGGCTAACCCCGGTTTTAATCTAAAAGTTAGTTTTCTTGTGTGTACATAAGAGAATGCTGTATGCACTCAGAATCTTTCTGGAGTTCCAATAGGACGATTGAAGCAGGTGGTATTGCAGAAAAGACTCTGATTTCAGAACACAACAAACTTGAACTTAATCTCTGCTCTTTGACCAGTTAGCTGTGGGAATTCTGATAAGGTCACTTCATCTCTGAGCCCTGAAGTCATTTATAAAACGAGAATAATCACATCTGCCTCCACTGGGTGCTGTGAGAACGGAAAGCATTTTCCATGGTGCTTTCCCCTTTTGTTCTGTATCCTCTCCATTCCTGTCCTTTGGCCATGTGACACTTCCTTAGAAAGCCAAAGTGGCCCCAAGCCTTCCGAGGGCCTTCATTATATTTATTCTCCCAGTGATGAAGCAAATCAAGTTCTTGAACTCCTTTATTGGAACAGTCACCAAAAAATTTTTGAGAAAAAGAACTGGAAGCCAAGTTTATTTTAAGAGGTGAGGGGCAGATGGCTTTATTTTAAAAGAGATGGCAATCTTTAGAAATACAATGTGCTTGAGGTCTATTAGTTGAAGGGCAAGTACTGTCATTTACCCGAACAGGGCTGTCTTTAACCTTGAGTAGCAGGAGCTTTAATGCTAAATATATACACTTCCAGATATCAGTCTCCACATGTTATAGGAACATTTTAATGTGGAAGGGATATGTTTTTGACATTTTCTCTGTCTAAAGTTTAAACAGCCGCTTAGACACCTAATTGGCAAATTCTAAGCAATCAGACTCTTTAGAGAAATATCATCAGATCTGAGCTAAAAGTATATAGGCTCTCATCTTAAGGATGCTGGATGTTTCATGTTTTTAAGAAAAATGTGTAAATGTTATTTTTTTAATCTACTAATAATCTTTATTATTATTAGTAGATTAAAAAATAACAAAAGATGGTATAGAACTATTTTTGAGCAAAGAAAGATGCAGTAAATAAATGAATGGATGTGAAAGGATGTGAAAATGTTGGCCATGTTCTGGATGAGAAGTTATTTTCACTATTACGAACTAAATTTTAACTTGGTCTGGGAGCAAAAGCAAGTCTGATACTAGTCTCATGGAACTGCTTTACTTGGTTAGCATCCAAAAATGTACTGTATTAGTATTAGCAGCCTACATATGGGCACTTTCAGTACCAACTGTGATAAGTCTGCTATTTCTTTGGTCTATCTGTAGTTTTGAATGTATAATCAGAAGCCATTGTAGCAACTGGCTCCTTATGCAACATTTATTAATGTGGTATGGTAAAATCTATGTCTGCAGTGAAAATACCAAGCAATATAATGTGAAGTACTTAAAAAGAAGTAATGAAACTGAGCCTTCTAGGCATCTAAGAATGCCAAACTGAAGATTTTACATTTATTTAACGTTTAATCATGTCTGTAATTGCAAAGCAATTATTTCATGTAGACATATTATGGGAGGAAAATTAAAATAATTTGTAAAAAGAATAAAAGTAATTGATTTCATGGTAGTTTTTATATCACTACACCTGCTGGTATTAAAAAGGAGCAATAAAAGTAGCCCAGTTGTTGGTTCATGCTTTGGTCTGTTTAGCCTTCCGTCAGTTTCTCAGTTCAGTAATGTTAAATTGCTACTTTATGATTCCAGCAATGCAAATAGCTAATTTCTTATAAAGAAAGAAAAAAAAAAGTTTTCTTGATCCTACAAGTGATTTAAACAGAAAAAAAAAAAAAGGATTGTTTTTCTTGGTCCTACTTTGCCTGTCACAGAATCTCAGGTTTTTAAAAAGGATTTGAAAGACCACAAGTTCAAGAATTCTTCAAAGTATATCTGGTATATGACTTTTAAAATATTGAAGGAAAAATTATTTTGGCTGGCGCTGAGATAGTTCATAAAAAGTATTAGTCTTGCTTTCTAGGTCCTAGAGGAAGAAGCTGCAAAGACCATTAAGTTTACCATTGCTTTTAAAATTAAGAAATGGGGGGCTCCTGGGTGGCTCAGTCATTAAGTGTCTGTCTGCCTTCAGCTCAGGTCATGATCTCAGGGTCCTGGGATCGAGCTCTGCCTCTGGCTCCCTGCTCAACGGGAAGCCTGCTTCTCCCTCTCCCACTCCCCCTGCTGCGTGTTCTCGTTCTCTCTCGCTCTCGCTCTCTTTCTCTCTGTCAAATAAATAAATAATAATTAATAAATAAATAAAAAATTAAGAAATGGGTGTCCAACGCTCCCTAAGATGACAGGCAACAGTAGAAAACATCTCCTTTCATGATCAGTTCTCATGTGTAGTTGGTATGCAGTGGGGAGAAGAAGGGTGAGGAGAGTCAGCCCATTAAGTATTTAATGAAATAAGTATTCATATAAAAATAATTAGGAGAGTAGCTGATGCACGTGGAGCACTGTATTGATTTCCTAGAACTGCTGCAACAAAATACCAAAAATTGGTTGGCTTAGCAGATTGTTATCATTTTACAATTCAGAAATTTTGAATTCCATGTCTCATTCACACCAGCCACATTTCACGTACTCATTCCTTAGGAGCTACCCAATCAGGGAGTGTCCACACAGAACATTTCTGTCACGGCAGAGAGTTGGACTGGCTAGTGCTAATGGAGCCAGCGCAGGTTGGCAACTCTGCTCTCCTTCCCAAGGATCCATATACCTACTCATTCATTCCTCCCTTTTGACGTGTCATTTTCTTTTACAGAGTCCCTTGTTTACTTGTCTTCTCTCCCCCAAAGGATTATAAACTCTTTAAGGGTAGGATGTGGTCTTTCTGGCCCTGTAACACAGTAAACACCCAATCAGCATTCAGTTACTCTAATTAAATTAGACAGCAGTTTACTGGACCTCTTCTGCATTTAGTCTGAGTCTAGATTTCACTGGAGTCTGGAGAAAAGAATGAACCAGAGACCAGGTTTTTCCTAAACCACAGGGATTAGGATGTATGGGGAGCAGATAGGTTTAAGCAGATATGCTTAAATGGCAAGGGTTTTTATTTGTGCTTAAAATTATTGTTATATGTGGGTCCCTGGAAAGCACATGTTAACTGATGCAGTTATTTATTTATTAAGTGCCCACGAGGTAGATGGCAGGCTAGTGCCTGGCCCTGGATGACTCCATGTGAACAAAACAGAAATAGGGTACCTGCCCTGTGATACTCATTCTAGTTTTGGCAGATGAAAGTATTGGCAAGGATTCCCCCTGCCCCCACCCCAACAGGCTGGGAGGGGAGGAGCATGATCTGGACTCTGGCCTTAGATGCCTGCAGTCACATGGAACCTCCACCACTCTCCTGGCTCCAAGACCCTAACCAGATTGTTTCATTATATCTGAGTCTACATTTCATCTTCAGTAAAAAGAGTGGGGGAGAATATTTCCCACCTCATGCAGTTGTAAGCATTAAGTAAAATAATTTGTATGAAGTGCTCAGTGCTGTGTGTGCTGCACAGTAAGAACTAAGTGCTATTAGTCACTACCTGCTATTCTTAAGACTACTATTCAGCCGGGATGACCCTGCAGTGAACATTAGATGTAAATAATGGGAAGTGTTTATATGGCTAGAAAATTCCTCATTATTTGAAAAGGATGTTTCCTATCTTTTTTGGCCTAACAATGTAATTCCCTTTGCTTACTGTTTATATCTTCCACCGGGCGTAACTAAGATCGAAATGTGTTACAAGATGTCCATCCTGTGCTTTACTTTTTTTTCTTTGGTATAGGATTTTATTCATTTGGGTCACTTCTTTCCAAGACAATTAGAAACAGAAATGCTTTGGGTGTCATCCAGCCTTTCTTAGAGAAGTATGTGCTTTTTAACATAGTTGCAAAGGAGAATCTTTAAAGAGGCTTACCATCAGCCTACAAAATTGAAATCCTAAGTAACTAGCATGCAAAGATTTAATTAACATCCTCTCATTCATATAAATGTGTGACTTTTTTTCTTGCAAAAATGACATTGCCTTTGAAAAAATATCTTGGAAATTAGTTGGAAAAGAGGGGGGATTGAACTTTGAAGGCAGTCATGTGATATTTGGTTTGCAGTATGAGATTTTTTTGAGCCCTGAGCATTGTTTGTCTGATGGAGGACACCTGCTTATGTACCTGAATATCATATTAAAATAAAAATCTTGGACCTACCAGATTTTCCTATAAAGCTCATGGCAAACCAAACTGCAGAAATATTCCAGTGTCTTTGCTTTAAAACCTTTTTCATATTCTAGAAATCTCATATTCTAGAAATCTATTCTATCATTACCTGAGGGAAAGAGGATTTCTCAGTAGTAACCAAGCTATTTGGCAGTGATGAACCATCCCTAGGCCTTCATCGTGATTTGTTGAACTCCAGTCAAAGACTCTGCATTGCTTTCAAGAGTTAAAAAAGCTCCCAGCGACTTGATCTATACTTCTGAGAGTTCGTTGACAGTCCCATTCATCCATTTCAAAATTGAGAGTTCTTTGGGATGACCATATGACATTTGGGAGATGGTGTTTAGGGCATGGGCTTTGGAGCCAGGCTATGTCTGAATCCTGTTCTATCACTGTCTAGCTACATGTCTTGAGCAAGTTACTTATTATCTCTATGCATGGTTTCCTTAATGTGAAAAGGGACAGTTATATTGCTTACCTACCAAGGATGTTATGAGGAAAAAAAGCACCAGGGTGCCTGGATGGCTCAGTGGGTTAAGCCTCTGCCTTCGACCCAGGTCACGATCTCAGGGTCCTGGGATCGAGCCCTGCATCGGGCTCCCTGCTTGGCAGAGAATGTTCTTCCTCCTCTCTCTCTCTGCCTGCCTCTCTGCCTACTTGTGATCTCTCTCTCTCTGTCAAATAAATAAATAAAATCTTAAAAAAAAAAAAAAAGGGGGCACCAGATGCATGTTGGGTTTAAAAGGAAGAAAGAAGGTAGGGTGAGAGGGAGGGAGGGAGGGACAGACAGGAGGGGGGAGAAAGAACAGAAGGAAGGAAGGAAGGGAAGGATATTTGTTACAGATAATTTTCAAGAAAACCATTAATTTCCTTGTTGGAAGAACACATAATAACTTGGGTTTTTAGCAGGACTCTAATTTTCTAAGTTGAGAACTCCAAAGGAAATTTATGATTGTTGAGATTCTGCTCTGTACCAGCACTGCTCAAGCCTTGTTCTCTCATGAGGAAAATCTAGAGCTATCTCCTAACAGATAAGGCAACCAAGACCTAGGGAGGTAAACAATTTATCCAAAGCACCATTGGTAGTGCCAGGATATGGACTTATTTAGCTCTGCCTGCTTCTTGAGATCATGCTTTTTCTTTAAAAAACAACAACAATAACAACAACTAAATAGTGTTTTTAGTGTTTTTAAAAGCCAGAAGCAAGTGTTTTGCTCCCAGCCATAAGGACTGCTGCTTACATGGGTGCCTTTAAAAATAGAAACCCAGGAAAGAATCATCAAATGCCTAAAATCCTGGAGCTGGAGAAGCACTAAGACATCATCTGGATTTAGCCTAACCTCAACACTTACAGATAAGGCAGATAGCCTGTAAGATCTGAGCTGGAGGCAAAACTAGAGAGGTAAGGGTCCCCTCACTGTTGGTCCAGTGCTTCCGTCTCAAACTACCTCTCAAACTACCTCGAAAGCAGATAGGGATTCTGAGTTAGATCGCTTTAGGGCATGGGCCAGATGCTCTTGACTTGCTGTCTTATTTGAGATCTTGAACAAGTGACAACTTCTCTGTGAAAAACAGGGATGCTATACTTTGCACCATACACTTGTAGTCATTCACTATAGCAGTTAATGGATAGTGAGTCTTTTATTAAATGAAAGCTGTTATTAAAATTAGCTATATTCCTAGTAGTATATTATTCCTAAGTCGTCTTCTATCTTGAATGCCCATTCCCAACTCCTACTAATTATTCAAATCCACTTTACATTTCCTACATTTGAATTTCTATGCCCTCACAGAGTTTGTGACACATTATCCAGTGTCAAATTAAGAGAAGTTTAATTTATACATTCTAAAAATTAAATTTGTGATTTGGCCATGCTTATATAGAATAGATCAACTATGATCAATTCACTGCCACATTAAAAAAAAAAAAAATCAATGAACATGGTTAAGCTGACCTGACTTAATTTTTTGGAATAAGTTGGCCATCAGTATGATCGATTGAGCTGTCTACCCTATCTCTGACCTACCTAATCAAAGGTCAAGATGGTGGTTATTAAACAAGCCATTTCACTCCCTAAATTGAATGATGTTTTCTTATGCTACTAATAAAGGTAACTGATTAATAGAGCACTAGAGGCTAACATCCTTCAAAAAGTTTTAGTTCCTGCCCAGTGATCAAGAATATAAATTTCATCTAACCCTACACTAAGTGAAGCAATGTGGGGTTCATGTGTTTGGAGAGTAGGATAGAGTCAAGTTTGGCTTTCAAATATGTAACATCACCTCTCTGAGGTATCCTCTATAAAATGAGAAGTTATTTAAGATGTGCAGAGGCCTTTTCCAACTTTCACAATGTGTGTTTCTCATAATTCACAGGGAAATCAGCTTTCTTTGCCTTTGATCCTTGGAAGCCAAATGAGAAACTGAAATAGAAGTTCTTCCCAAGGGCTCTTCCATAAGCACCCTTCCCCATCATGCCAAGCCACCTCTTAAATTTGGATTGATGCCAGCTGGTTGTGTCTGGGCTTTTTTGCTCCTTTTTCTTTTTCTTTCTTCCTTTTTTTTTACGGTTTCTTTTGTAATTCTTAGTCCATCTGGGCTGGCCTTGCCGTTTACCATGCCTGCAAGAACTAACGTGCTGTCCATGCCCCATTCCTCTTAGAAGCGGAATGAATTGTGACCCCCAGCTTCTATGCTCAGTTTGGACACCAGCTGCACCTTTGGGTTCTTCCCAGAAATGCTGGCCGACACTGCACCTGCAGTGTGATGGATTTGCCCTGGACTGAAAGGGGAAGGAAAATGAGGGGGAATCAAAAGATCACTTGTGTTTACCCTTTTCTTCGCACAGTAGTTCATTTATACCACCCAAGTATACCAGAGAATTTTTGAGACTTAATTAATAATAATAATAAATACAAGAAGAAACTAAAATAAAACTAGAGAATGCACAGATTTTTCTCTGGGAACCAGGAAAACCATAAACATTTAAAGTGATCAGATTAGGAAATGCTGAATTAGGGATCAAGGCATTTGGGTTTTATTTCGTTTCTCTGCTAATTAACTGGGTCATCTTGGATCACCTAGGGGATCTGTAAGGTTCTGCCTGCCTTTAAAAGTAGGTCTTCCAAAAGAAAAGAGTATAAGATGAATTTTTTGTAAATGCAAAACTTCTTTTTAAACCACTAAAGTTTTCTTCAGAGCAAAGATTCACACTGTAATATACCGAGTCTCTAATTATAGGCTTTCACATATGGAGTATTTGCCAATAATAGTTTAAAATTGATATTTAATCATCTACTTATCAAACATTAACTCAGCATTCTAGGTGATATGATTATTATTATATTTATATATCATTCAGAGGTTGCAAACTGGCCACAGGCCATAAAAGGCCTTGGAAAGCATATGGTTTTTGTCTGGCCTACACAGTTAACACTTTTGGACACTTCTGGAGTCCATGCACATTCCAGCTTTTTACATGACTGTGTTAGATGCAGCTGACTTCACCTATCTAGCCCCTGAAAGCCCTGGAATTTGAGATCTTGGCATCATCAAGCTTGTTGCCTCCATAGCAGTTTAATTTACAAAAGGAAGGGAAGAAGAGAAGGACTGCCTCTCAGAAAATGGCTAGAAGTAGTTTTGCATGACACCAGGAGAATGGGTTGATAGATGACTTCCTGAGGTTCCTCTTAGCTTGGAAAGCTGTGACTACATTTCCCCTCAACCTACTTACTATAAGATAGATAAAATAGGACACAAAGTTACTAGACCTGCTCAAGGTCACTTAGGAAGTTTGTGGTGAAGCCAAAATTAAGAATCCCTTCCCTGGTGTCCTCATTCTGTTGCTCAGCCCACTCAGACATGCTGCTACACGGCTTGCTGATGAATAATGTGGGCTCTCAGGAACAGTTCCTTATGCAAAAGAGCCTCAGCAAGCTCTATTATGTCCTTGCAAGGGGATAGACTTTATTGTTTCCTTAATGCGTTATGAAGACTATTATAGCTCTTCCTCCCATACGAACCCTCCATCTGTGATCACTAACACACACTACAGGGTGTTTTGCTTTGGATAATGTGTGAACAAGGAACATAATTTGAGGAAATGGTTGAAGAAAGGAATCTAAGATTCAGAAAGGGCCGGGGACCAGACGAAAGTCCAAGAAACTAATGTCCTTAAAAATAATCCCTGCAGGGGCGCCTGGCTGGCTCAGTCAGTAGAGCATGTGACTCTTGATCTCGGGGTCAAGAGTTTGAGCCGCATGCTGGGTGAAGAGATTATTTTTAAAAAATAATAATGATAAAAAAATAGAAATAGCCCATGCAAATTCAGTTTTTGCAATATACTTGCAAGATCTTATTTCCTTCCCAAGGAAAATAAAATATACTCTCCAGAAAGACTTTGCTGTGATCTCTCTCTTTCTGGTTCTACCTACACTAGCCATCTGCATTGTTAGAAGGCCTCTGGCCAGGCTTTTTCAGAATTTATAGTTAATACCACAGAAGGTACCCTCTAGCTGATTTCAAACTCCTACTTCTTCCTTTCATAATGAATACCCATTGAAAAGACTAGATCCAGTGAGATAACAAACTTGTAAATAATAATACCTAACATCTACTGGAGACTTGCTATGTGCTAGGCCCTCTGAAAAAGCCTTTACATTTAACATCTTATCCTAATTCTCTCACCACCTTTGCAAAGTAGGTTTTATGACCTCCATCTTTTCTTTCTTTCTTTCTTTTTTTTTTTTTTTAGAGATTTATTTATTTATTTATTTGACAGGCATCACAAGTAGGCAGAGAGGCAGGCAGAGAGAAAGAGAAGGGAGCAGGCTCCTGGCTGAGCAGAGAGCCCTATGGGGTACTCGATCCCAGGACCGTGAGATCATGACCTGAACTGAAGGCAGAGGCTTAACCCACTGAGCCACCCAGGCGCTTCTGATCTCCATTTTCTAAAGAAAAATTTTTTAACTGAGACTCAGAAAGAAAGCTTCAGTAACTTGGCCAAGGTCACAGAACTGAATTTGAAATCAGGTTTGTCTTTCTAGAAGTCACATTCTAAACTCCTATTTACAAAAGCTTACAGCCAGGTGCCTGGGTGGATCAGTCGGTTGAGCCCTGACTCTTGCTTTTGGCTCAGGTCACGATCTCACCAACTCTTAGTTTTAACTAGGTTCATGGTCTCAGGGTCATGGGAACAAGCTCTGCATCGAGCCCGGCACTGAAGCCGGCCTTGGGCTTTGTGCTCAGAGGGGAATCTGCTTGAGATTCTCTCTCCCTCTGCCCTTTTCTGCCCCCCACCCCTGCTCTTGTGTTCCTCCTTCTCTCAAATACATTAAATCTTTAAACACAAAACAAGGAGTGCCTGGGTGGCTCAGTTGGTTAAGCAACTGCCTTCAGCTCACCTGGGA